TCTAGTAACCACTGACTCGATTTGGCGTTTTTGTTTTCAGATATTCCAGGCAACTTAGTCGATGGAGATGAAACTAAACACGATGTACCAAGTCAAAGCAGTGAGACAAAGATATGCTGTGTAACAAGGATAAAGAATACATGTGTGTGTTAATTTCGAGCATTTATGCTTCTTGTAAAGTGAGTTGCAACTATAATTGAAATTGCAAATTTTCCTTAATGCAGGTGTACGCAAGTACCATGATCTTTGGACGTATCTAGCTGAAAGTACGCACCCTAATAATTTCCTTATTTTTCTTAATCGCTTATTTGGTTTGTGGAAAAATGATGGAGACGTGGGGGTCACTTTATTTCAACCAATCACTGTGTTAACGAAAATAATTTAATTAGTTAAAATAATTTACTATGAATTTCTAATTAAAATTTATTTCTTTTCAGGATGGAAATTGATTAAGGAAATAGGGAAAACGAAAAAGAAGCATGAGACTGCAGTTAAATTGGCCAAGATGCTGGTAAAGATGGATTCTTGCTCGTGGCGTGAGCACTACAACGAAGAAGGGCACAAGAACATTGTTTGCTTTTCAGGAGACGAAGAAACAGGGGAGCCGTTGTCCCAAGCCATATGTGTTGGCACCACCGCCAAGATGCTGGTAAAAATGGATTCTTCCACTTGGCGTGAGCACTGCGACGAAGAAGGGCACAACATCATTATTTGCTTTTCAGGAGACCGTAAAAAGGGAGGCAAAGAAACAGGGGAGCCGTCGTCCCAAACCGGATGTGATGGCACCGCCGCCACCATTGGGGCAGCTCCGGATACTCCATTGATTATTGCCGCCAGGACAGGGATCAAGGAGATTGTAGCCGAGATTATCAACGTGTATCCTCAAGCACTGGAGCATGTTACCAGGAGTGGACAGAATATTCTGCACGTGGCCATTCTACACCGTAACCACATCCTTGATCTCATCAAGTCGGAGAGGAAAGTGGTGCGGCAGAGGTTGAATTTAGGAATCGACAACGAGGGTGACACCATTTTGCACAAAGCCGCCTCTACAAAATACTATAGCGGAGGTACCACATCGACAGCGGCTCTGAAACTGCAAGAGGAGCTGAGATGGTTCAGAGTAAGCCTTGATCAATTGTTTCTCTAAGTTCATTAACTAACATTTACGGTCTGTTTGGTTTTTAGAGTCCATTCGGTTTTATAGAGTTTTTAGAGAAGTGGGGAGAGAAGGCGGGGAAGGAAAAACTATTTTAATTATTTAAAAATATTTACTAAAAATTTAGAACCCATTAATTAAAAAATTTTGATTTGTATTCACAATTAATAATTTAAATTTTTATAATATAAAGTAAGTAACTACTAATTTACTAGGTAAAATCATTTAAAAATTTTTGATTGATCAAAATAATATTGCTTCAATTATTTCAAACCAAACAAACTTCTAACAATTGAATTAAACATTTCTTTAAGAATTGTGAATTCTTGATGTGATTTTGCAGGAGGTGGAAAAAATGGTTCCTCTTCCTTACACAATCCATCTCAACAAGAAGAATCTTACGGCGAAGCAACTGTTAAAAGACGAGCACAAAGAACAACTGAAAGAGGCCCAAGAATGGGTCAAGAACACTTCTCAGTCATGCTCCACCGTGGCTATCCTAGTCGCCACGGTTCTCTTCGCTGCCGTCTTCGCCGTCCCAGGTGGTTTCATAGGTAATTAACTGAACTTTTTTTCTTCTACTCACAAAGGAAAAAAAAGATCTAATTTGTCATTAACAAGCTGCCATATCAAAATTTTTTTTTTCTTTGATCTGTTTTAAGGATATGGCGACGCAAAAGACGGAGCGGCTAATGCACCTGCCCCAGCGGTAGCCGGAACGGCTGTCCTTGCGAACGAGCCTCTGTACTCTTTTTTCACTGTGATGGACGTGGCCGGACTGGCGAGCTCATTAACGTCGGTGGTGCTCTTCCTTTCAGTGCTCACATCGTCACTTGATCTGGAAGAATTTCACTATCAAATTCCCTCGAAACTGTCGGCTGGCTTCCTCTTTCTGTCCTTTGCCATTGCGACCACTCTGTTTTCCTTCACAGCTGCAACTCTCCTCACCTTTCGTTTGGAGTCGGCATGGACTACGTCTCTGACCTACGCCGCTGCGTTCCTTCCAGTCAGCATCTATGGGGTTGTGCAGTTCGGTTTGTATTTCGCATACCTCAAGAGTGCTTTAATCGGTATTTTTAGGCTCGTGAAGCTGCTTCTTCCAGGGAAATAACTTTGCATATTTTTAAGCTTAAAATATTATTCTAGTTACTTGACTTTTAAATTTTGTACTAAATCAATTCTCAAATTTTAAAAGTATTAAATTATCTTTAAACTTTATATTTTTGGTATCAATTTCATTCTTCGTCAGTTTATTGATGATATGGCAGATTTTTCCATTATCTAATTTAATTTCTAAAATTTTAAATGTGAAAAGGACTTTTAGATGGCGGATGTGAATAGTTTTTGTTGGGGCTTAAAAAGAATATCAATTAATTAATCTTAAATGACATCTTTATTATTAAATTTAATTAGTTAATAATTTATAAAATTTGAAATTACAAAACTATCCATCCATTCATCTTTTTGTCTGA